TCACAAAAGACTGGTACTACAATTATGCCTGCAGCTTGCCCAGTCTTTGTCAGGAGAGACCCCAATTCCAAGTTTCTCTACTTCCTCATGGTTCTCATGAATATCAAGCTTTATGAAAGAGTGGAAGATATCGATGGAGGTCTCCCAAGGGGTGCTGAATAGAAATTAGACTCTCTGGAACTCCATCACCATTACTGCCACAACCATCTTACTACTTTCAAACTGTCTATGTTTATTCCAACACCATACTATTTTGATTACTATAGCTTTGTATTTTCCTGTCAATTCTTCTGTGAACCTTGAACTGCTATAAAAAACAAAGTCTGTTTAGTATATGTACAAACACACATATACATGCACACTAATATGTAAAAGATGGCAATAACAGAATGAAAGGTCTTAAATAGAATTGTTGGTAATAATCTTAAAATGTTCTTGATGTAATATGTTAAATATAGTGTGTTGAATATATATAATTCTTAATCACTAAAACCCCAGAACAATGGTATATTTAAAAATCAAAAAGAATAGATGAAATGAAGAATTAAATTGGTTTCCAGTATTCAATTAAGTAAAGAAAAAAAAAAAGACCAAAAAAAGATAGGAAAAACTAGGAAGCTATTGGTAAGATAAGTAAACTTAGCAAAGACCTGTTACTTTCAGTAAAATTAAATCTTATTGGACTAGATTTTTTAAAAGTTACATATTGTTTACAAATACATACAAACATTTTTAAATATAAGGAATATATATTTATTTTACTCTTTTAAAGTAAAATAGTATTTAAAAATAATCCACGCGAAAGCTAATTTTAATGCAAATCTGACTAAGGAAATATATGAAAAAATAGGCAATGACAAGAAGTATTGCAACAGGTAAAGAATGATATTCTTTAGGTCAATAGGTCAATTTATCAAGAAAGCAACATCGTAAATGAGTATCTTCAGAATACAGTAATCCAAAATTGCTAGTATATTGTTAAATATATTCAAGAACAAGCAAACAAAAGAATTGGCAAAAATATAAAATATTGGTACCTATTATCCACCTTGATTTATTGTTTATATAATAATATAATTCACAAATGAATAATCCACATTCTATTGTAGTTTTCAAGGAGTATTTACTAAATATAAAGGAAAATCTAATTGATAATCTTGTTTTAGTAAAATGCAATGGCTTAATTATTTGAAGTATGATATATGACAACAGCAGAATTAAATTGGATAAGAAAAATATAATTGAAACACCTCAAATACATAGAATTTAAATAACACATGAGGAAAAGTCATAATGAAAATTGGAAAATAGAGCCTCCCTGGTGGCACAGGGGGTTGAGCACAGTGCTGTGAAGCTGTCCACAGCCTCTGCATGCAGATCACTACTGGCCAGCAGGTGAGATACCCACATGGCGCAGCAGACCTCTTCTGTCTTCCCCCTGCACCCCTCAGCAGTGTATTTCAGACAGTCTGCCTGTTCTGCTTCTCACTCTGTCTCTGGTGAATCCTCTCACCCTTCTGCACATCTTGCCTGTACCTCAGTTCTTATATAAATAAATCAATCTTTAAAAAAAAAAAGAAAATTAGAAAATATTTTGAACATATTAGGCAAATGAAAGATGTGAAAATAAATATAATACATGTAAATTTGAAGCAGTATATAGATGGGAATTTATAGTTTTAAATGCATATACTAAAAAATTTTTTAGATAAATAATATAAAATTCTATTCTTAGAGGCAAGAAAAATAACAAGTTACACTTATACTGTAGAAAAAATAAATGAACACAAAAGCAAAATAAAGAAACAAAATGCAAATATATATAGAAAAAATCAAAGCCCAAAACTATTTATTTAAAAAGTTAATAGAAATAATGAACTCCAAGGATGACTTATCATGAAAAAAAGAGAAAAATCATAAAATTATCAATATTGAGATTGAAAAAAGGATATATCTACAAGTTCAAAAGTCTAAAAAAGGAGGGAAGAATATTATGAACAACTTTGGCCAGTGTTACTCAGAAGAATTGGACAAATTTCATCAGAAAAACAACTTTCTTTTGTTTATTTAAAGATTTATTTATGCATAGAAGAACTTTTCTGTAGGCCAGAGGTGCAGGGGGTTTAGAGGATTCACCAGAGACAGCCTGGGGAACAGAACAGGCAGAGCTACTGAAATACACTGATGAGGGGAGCAGCAGGCAAGACAGGAGAGGTCTGCTGTGCCATGTGGGTAACTCCCTGGCCTCTGATCAAACTAATGGTGCAGTGGCTACTGATAGCTTGATAGTGCTGAGACTTAACCCCTTGCACCACCAGGAAGCCACCCAGGAACACAACTTTCTTAAAATAACAAGGAAAGGGTGAATACATAATTTTAAATCAATTAGTCATAGAAAAATACTTATGTAAGTTTTGTAACTAATTCGTAAGTAAAAAGAAAACCTATAAAAAACTGAAAAATTCTAAATTCTAAGAAACATTGCAGGAATATTTACAGCAGGAAGAGATAATATTTCTCATTTTCTTTTATAAGACTACTATATATCTGATATGATATATAGATTGTAATTTCATTACAATCTAAAAAAGTTACAGACAAATATTCCTAAACAACATGCTGGCAAATAACTCCAGCAAAAGTTGTAAAATATAATATATCATAACTAAATATATTTCGTTTTAGGAATACCAGTTTGTTGGAAATACAATCATTTCAATTCACAACATTTAATGGAAAATGGAGAAAATTATATGATCAACTTAAATTATACAGAAAAAAGCTTTTGACAAAAATCAGTGCTGGAGTCCAGCTCCAACCGGGGTAGGGTCCCCACAGGACAAGAGGGCGTCAGCAAAGTGGAGGGATGAAGGGAGAGGGGAGATGAGGTAGATGAGGTAGTGAGGAGACACTGACACTTGATCAGGGTGCAGACATCTCCCGCTGAGGGTCTCAGCGGGTCTTTATTTATACATCAGAAATTTTTTATTTGATCATTACATCATGCAATCATGTGATTTTACTTTTACATTGTCATTGTTTCAGAACTTATGCTTGATCATCAATCAGTGCACAGCCCTTTCTTAATTTTCCCAGTCTATGATTAACTTGGTTGCTTGGTTACATTAACTTGGTTACATAATTTCCCTAGGTGATGTATGTTATTCAGAAAATAAAAACAGGTGCTATACACAGTGTGATTTATGGTCAAGCTAAAAGATGAAGCAGGCATTGTAAGATCGAGGGCGGCTTCCTATTTTCTATATAGAACCAAGGTGTCCCGGTACCTTGGGAACAGTATGTGGTGTGTTTCTCTCTGATCATTTTGCCTCCAGGGGCTCCTCAGGGACTTCTCTTGTGGTAATTTTACCAGGCTCAAGCATGGCTTGTTAAAGAACTCAATGTTACTCATGGTAACTGAATTAAAAATTGGAGGACGTGGAGAATTATCGGGAATCATTTCATCATTAATCATGTTAGAAAGTACTTTTCTCAAACTACTGAAGTGTGCATACCGAAACTGGCATTGGTGCCAGCACTCATTGTGTTATTCTAAAGCTTAGAGAAAATTCCCATGGTTTCAATAACTGCCACAAACAAATGAAAGGAAGTAGCAGGAGCCAGCTATGAAGTTTTCTGACTTTTCAGAAATTTCCCCCATGCCCAGACCTTGTCAGACAGCATGAGTAGCATGACCCACGCCAATTCAGCATATATGAACAGATGTATCTCAAGAAAATCCCAATAAATTGGGAAAAAAGTAAATTTCTGAATATGAATGGTTATATGCAAAAATCCATCAACTAGGAGTCCCAGTATGGAAAGATATTTGCACACATTATATCTAACAAAGGAATCATATCTACAATAGGCAAAAGGATTCTGCATATACTAGAAAGAAACAAAGTCACTCAACCAGAAAATGTACCAAAATTTTCAAAGATATTACCAAAGAAGTTATATATAAATGACCAGTAAAAAATGTATTTGTTAAACTTCATTAACACAGAAATGCAAATGAAAACCAAAATGTGGCACCTCTACATGTCCACCAAAATGACTAAGTTGAAATAAATGTTTAAAAAAATTACATTAATATAAAGTGGACTATTTATATACTTCTGGTGAGAACACAAATTCATACAACAATCTTGGAAAATTCTTTGGAAGTTTTGGAAGTGTCTTTTGGAATTGTCTAATAAAGAATACTCTGTGACCCAGCAATTTCATTATAGAAATATACCCAATAAAAACCACTATGTATGTTCATCAAATAGCATGTACAAGAAATAAAATAACCAAATATTTTCTTAATAGTTGCAACTGTAAATAAATCAAATGCTGATCAACAGAAAAACAGACGGTATTATATTTTCTAATGTGTAATAGTAACCAAGGAGGAAAATTATTGCTACTGACAATATGGGTGGATATTATGATTATCATATTAAAACAACTCAAACATAAAAGGGTACACAGTGATTGATTTCATTCACATAAATCTCAAACACAATGAAAACTGACTAATGGTGTTAAAGGGGATTCACTGTCAGTATAATCTGGGGGAGTTTTGTGACTCCTGTTTCTCCATTTGGCATTAAGAGTTAATTATCCTACTTTGTTCATATATATAATATCTATAGTCATGGCTGTACACATGTACACATGTATGAGCTATATATCATGTATATACACATGTATATGATATAGACTATTAAATTATGCAAGTGTACTGATATATATAAATTAAAACACAATTAAAAGTTCAATTATCCATTAAAGTTCACTTCAGAAAAGTACACGTTTGTTCCCTTGATGTTCTTTCAGGTTTGCCTGTGGAGATATTTTTGCTTCTTTTTAGCCTCAAAGCAGCCCTCAAAACAAACAAAACCTCCTTCAGTTTTAGGGACCAAGAAAGTTCACAGTGCACAGCGCACTGAACCCACCCCGCTGACCCAGCTCTGCTCTCAGTTCGCGGGGTGGGTGGTCCCAAGGCGTCTCCTCGCGCTCCCAACTGTCTCCTAGCCAAGCCAACTGTCATTATTTGGGCGACCATCCAGGACACCTAGCCATGCTGTGCTTTCTGCTTCTGCTCACAGGGCTCGTCGGGATCCAGACAGACTACAGTACGTAGAGAAAACCCTCTTATGTCATTTGGGGGACGTCAGCTTTCCTCTCGGTTTCCCTCTTGAAGGGCTGGATTACTCCTGGGGCAGTGCTTTCTTGTGGAGACTCCAACTATAAAAGCCTGAGCCCACCCCTACGTTGTCACCTTCCCAAGTTAAAAGCAACATCGGATGCATGGTGGGGGGTGGGGGTGAGGGGTGGAGGGTGGGGGGGGTAGGGAGGGGAAGCGGGCTTTCCTGTTGGTCTTGCAGCCATGAGAAAGAAGGAAAATGCCATGGTTTTTGTAGCTTCATTCTGGTTGCATATATCTGAAGAGGTGTAAACCTATAAACCCCAAAGTCATATGTAGTGTTGTGTTGTTAACCAATGTTAATTCTGTAAAGATGATACCATTTTTAAAAAATGTTTGAAAATAAAATTTGATTACCCAGCTAGTTTTCCCCATATTAATAAAAAACTCAGGAATAAAAGAACCATTTATGATAACAGTTCCAGTAATGATTATTCAATCTTTTTTTAATACTTTTTTTAAATTGTAGTAACTTTGCATTTTAGCAAAGTAAGTTATTGGTGTGTATCATTGAAAATCAACATTTGTATATACTACATTAAGTTAATCATGCAAAAGTCCAGTTCACAATATGGGAACTTTGTCTATAGAATCGAATGCAAATGTTACAGTTATTTTAAAAGTAGAATTTATAAAGAAAAAAATTAAAACTGCTTGTATATTTCATAATCGAGGGTCAAATGATATTCTTTAACTGAAACATTGCATAATAAATACAAGGATTCCAACTCCTTTAAAAAAAATTAGAGTTTATTTTATCCTGCTCTGCAAGTTTTGACCTTCTGGACTTTGTAGTAGGACGGTCAAAAAAACCTGAATTTTTGTGCAAAAATCCTTTGGCCTCTTGCCTCAGGGTAACTACAATCTGCTTATTGAACAATATTCCTAAAGCAGAATACCTATTTTGTAGTTTTAGAAAGAACTGGGGATCAAAGTTACTTTAAAAAGATATAAATAAAGAAGTGGTATGTAGAATACTGTGGTATTAGAAGAGAAAATATTGAAGGAGGTTATGAGGTGTTAAGAGTTGCTATAATAAAATATTTTGCACCTTGCAGATTCTGAAAGACTACGTGTGCAAATTATGATTCCAAAGAAAATAAGGTCTATGACAACTGGAGGAGTTGAATCACATGTAATTAAACCCTAACATTTTCACACTCTAAAATCACATTACAGTTTTGTATCTAAGAAGTTATATCCATGTACACTTGCTACATTTTATATTTATACCCAATGGAAAAGCCCTTTGAAAATGAACCAAAATTAAAAATGTTTCATAGGAGTATGGTGCAATGATGTTATGATGTTTATTATCAAAATCCAAAATTCCATCTTCTAAATGTTTCCTTCTTAAGTGTCTTCAAATATTGACCAGATCCATCTAGAGATTTTCTTCTCACTCACCTACATATGGGAAATTTTTTGCTGTTTTTTGTCGTAAGCTATGGCTTCTTTACATGGAATGACACTCATTTGATTTAATGAAATGCTGTATGAATTTCTTTTGTATCTTCATTGCTAGTATGATATTCATTAAGTCTCCATGTTATTTTGGTTCATGATATTGTTCTTGAAATTAATTTAAAAATTTAATCTTTTTTCATTAATTCTTAGGAATATTTCTAAAGAAGTGAAATGTATTTTTTAAACACCATACCTACCTTAATTTTTTTTTGGCTCAGTAGATATTCTGGTAATTTATATACAAATATCTCATTAGCAACCCTCAATTTAATACAGGGATTACAAGCTTAAATAGAATGCATATTTTGAAAGGAGTGCTTATTTATATAAACTTCAAATTCAATCTAAATAGTAAAAAATATGTGAAATTTTAACAGTATAAGAGATTTTTTTTTAAAGATTTATTTATTTATTCATTTGTTTGTTTGTTTTTGTTTGTTTGTTTATACAAGCACTGGGTACAGTCAGAAATGGATTGGAAGACCCAATAATATAAAGATATTGACTCACCCAATCTTTATATACAAAATTATTCATTTGCTAGATAATATTTATTAATCTTAAATATTTTTCTTATAAAATATTTTAATATCAAATTTCATAGAAATGAACCAACACTGAATAAGTTTTCTATGTTTTACAATAATAGAGTACCTAAGATAATAGTTTTCCTAACATTCTTCTCACTTTTCCTTTTTAATATACTCTCCTGCCAGCTATCCTACAACATTACAATTGATGGGAAAATATACACCCTGAACTTAATGCAAAAGTAGGTGATCTACATTTTTACATTTCTTTGTTACAATAATTTACAATTATTGGCTATGACTATTATTATAGTATGCATTTTTAATATATAGTTTATAATTATTATTTATAATTATCCAGAATGAAATTATTTTGTATGTGTAAATGTTTCTAGGCATATTTGTGGTTTATTTGTCTCATATTTTATGCTTTAAAACCCCTCTTAATGCACAGGTAGGCCAACTGTTTTTTCTCTATGAAGTAACTATATAAGACATTTATACTTTTTAAAGAGACACTTCTAATAGCCAGCACTATTTACAATTAGCCAAGTTAGCACAATATCTAAGTGCCTAAGGACAGATGAGTGGATTAGGAAAATGCTACCCAACCATTAAAAAAGTATGAACTCACCATTCTTAATAACATAGAGGGAAATGTCAGGGATTATGCTAAGCAGAAATAAGTCCAAAAGAGAAAGGTAAATATCAGATGGCTTCACTTACATCTGGAATTTAGAGATACAAAACAAAGGGTTAGAGAAAAAAAAAACAAACCAAATCTTAGATATGAGACTATAAAATTGAGAATACCAAAGGAGGAAAAAGGTGGACAGTTAACAGGGAAAGGGAACCCCACGGACAATGGTGAAGGACTTGGTGGTGATTGTGATGTGGTAACAAATCTGAAGAGGTGTGAAATTATATCTTTATATTATATGTGGCATTGAAAACCAGTGTTACCTCAATAAAAGAAGAAAAAAAAAAATCTCAGTTATATTGTTTTCATACAAGACTAATAATAGTATAATAAATAAGTAGATTATAAAATGTTAGATGGTAATATATGCTTAAGCAAAGAAATAAAACAAAGCAAGAATTAATGTTTGGAATGCCTGTACTTTGATAATTGGGAAAGTTGCACATTTGTATAAAGTTGTGATGACATCTCACTGAGAAGTTAGTTTATAAGTAAAGACTTGAAAAAGTTGAGAAATTGAATCATTTTAAAGAAATACTAGGCTGTGGGAACAACTTGTGCAAACACCCTGAGGCAAAAGCTTTCCAGCAATGCTTACAAAACAGCTAGGAGAACAGTCTGACAGTGAAGTAAGTGAAGAGAGGTTTAGCAACTAGATTTTTTTTAAAGTGAAATTAGAACAGGATTTACCTGTTGAGAGGCTCTATCCCTCTATTATTCCCTTACTCTTTTACTCTGCCTCCTTACTTGTAGTAAAGTGTATATATATATATATATATTCAAAAAAGAGCTTAGGAAAATATTTTCCATTAAGTACTTTTTCCCCTGTTTTTGCAGAACATTTTTACCTCACAATTTTTAGAGTTTATGCTTATAATGGCTCAGGAAGTAAGAAACCTTTTGAACAACAGTTTCAGGTATAGATTTTGCTGTTTTACCTTTGTCACATGAATTTCTGTGATCACCTTAACTTAGGGTCCACACATTACTAAAGCACAAAGAATCAGAGTTGTGTGTTTGTGTTGATTTTTTTTTTTAGCACAATTCAACAATTTCATGCATATTTAGGATTATATTAAATGTTTTTAAATTTGAAACATCTGGAACTTTCATAATGCCTATAATTGTTAAAATAATGAAGTACGCATAGATTGCAGGGATCCCACCAAGCCTGAGATAATGTTTTTCCCATTTATCTTTACCCTACCCTTTGCATATTGTTATTTTTTTTCATTTACATTTCTGATTTTCATGTAGTAAATCAAACAATACTTTGAAATTAAAGTACTTTTATACAAACTAAGCTTTTAACAGAAGAAATAGATATGTTGCGATACTTTAAATTTTGCCCAATAGAGTAGGCAAATATATGGGAGTCATCTCCATAAATATATAAATAATATATACTGTCAATCAGTGTTATCATTTATATATGTGTACATGTGACATGTACTTGTGAATGTGTATGTGAGAGAGTGAGAGAAAGAGACAGAGACAGAGTTAGAATTGGAGAGACAGAAATACACAGGACAACTTAAGGACACAAAAACATTGATTCAAAAGAGCACCTGTACACCTATGTTTATTGCAGCACTATTTACAATAGGTAAAACCTGGAAACAACCCAAATGCCAGAAAATAGATGACTGGATCAAGAAGATGTGGTATATATACACAATGGAATATTATTCAGCAATCAAAAAAGATAAACTCATGTCATTCACAGCAACATGGATGGAGCTAGAAGGAATTATGCTCAGTGAAATAAGCCAGAAAAAAAGAAAATATTAAGATGGTTTCACTTATAACAAGAATATAGGGGAACCAAATAAGACATCAGTGTAAAAAAAAAATAGTAACAGTACAAAACACAACAAAGCAAAAACAGACAATTACAAATCAGACATACTACAGGGGAGGAGGAGGAGAGGGATCAGAGGGAGTAAGGAGGAAACAGGAGACTGTGGTGATGGTGCATGGGTGCCTTGGGGAAGGAAATTCTATGGGGACTCAATCTGAGGGGGTGGGGGAAAGAAAATATCATTTAAAAATACCAAAATTAAAAATTAAAAAAAATTCTTCTCAATAATTGGTAGAGGAGATGGTCACTTAGCAAAAGATTTACAACTTAGATGGAACTATCAATTTTACAATTATTTGTAGAAGACTGTACATAATAGTCACAACATACATTTTCTTTTCCAGTACAAATAAAGCTTTAAATAAGATATGATAAAGTAAAGCTGTGCAAGAAATGATAATGATAAAAATAAGATAAATGATGAGAGAAGGAAATTATAAAACAATAATAACATACTTTTATCCCTTATGAAAATTTTATCCTATGCTGACCTAAAAATAGTTTATTGATTCCCAGTTTTTCCAATCAACCTATTTATGATGTAAATACAACTTATAAATTTTCAAATAATCAAAAACATTATCTCCAGATAATAAAATTCACATTTAGAAGGAAGTATAATAAGCCTTGCAGAAAAGTAAAGGTATTTTACTTTGATCTTATAAAGTGTGATTAATACAGATGAAGAGCTGTTTGAGTATTTGAGGGGAAATATGAAATAATCCAATATGATGATATGTCAGTGACATTTTTTAATAAGTTAAGAGACTGTTTTGGTCTGTGTCTAATTAACATAAGAAATAAATCCATTATTTGAATAGAGGAAGTTTAATATAAAGAATTTTAGGCTATAATAGAAATTTGAATAAATAATATGAAGTAAAGTGAAATCTGAAGAACATAGGAGTTCCAGATATAAGAAACAACCAGTGACACAGAACTAGGATAACAAAGACAGTCTAGAGGGAGAGGGTGTGAGAGGAGAACATAGCAGACTATGGTGGAGGATTATGGATGCTTTGACGAGTGTGGTAAGGTAACATATCCATGAAGAGGCATGAACCTGTACCACATCAAATACTGTGTTGTAAACCATTCCGTCTTCTCATGGTCTCCACCCTTACTGGTAACACATCAGTACTATCTGGCAAGGGAAAAATAATTAAGTGGCCCAGATTAATTTGCACAAAGCAGGCATGTGGTTAATTTGAACTGAGTAGCATCAATAACTAACATTTTACAACTTTGACTACTCAGTTTCGTTTGACTACTTAGCACTCTCCTATCCACGTTTAAACTACGGTAAAACAACAAGATCACCTTACATTTCTATATGTGTTCGTTGGCTATATGGAAACCATACCTTACAAATAATCTCATTAAAATATCATCCCAGACTTGCAGCTTAATGTCTTTCAAATACCATGGTAAGTATTTAGTAGCCTACTATTCTTTTTCAATTAGGCCAACTGCTACTGGACAATAATGGATGTGATAAAAACTGTTCATTTCAAACACATAAATCCATTGCTGTACTTCATTGCTGACAAAGAGATTCCTGCGTCACACAGCATGGGATCACTGACTGACTATGAATCTGAATGATTAGATTTCCTGGATGATTAAATGTATAATCTACATTTACTTTAGTTAAAGCCTCTGTTGTTTCCCTGGGCAGAAAAGCAAGGAGCCCTTATCTCTTGACTGCATTGACTTGGAACTCAGCCACAACAAGAAGTATCTGGAGGAAGCAGGATGAGAAATGTGAACATCTTGCTCCTCCCAATGAGAATTCCTGGCTGCACCAAGTCTAGAATATTTCACTAAGCTTGTAGGGGTGGAGGAAGGGACAAAAGTGTAGTTTTTACTTAAATATCATAACTCTCATTTTTGCCTATTTTCATAATTTTTCTTGAATAGCTATTTATTCATTTCTCTTTGACTCATTTATCCTTAAGACCATTTCCGAGGAATTTAATAGTTGTTCACCTGAAATTTTCATCCATTTCATTTGGAGCAGATCTGTGGAACTCCTCATGCTGTTATATCAGAAAGTCAATTTTAGATATCTTAATTTTTGAAAAATAATTTCCCTCAATATATAATACTGCATACCAGGACATTTTTCTTCTCAGCCTTTTCTTTTCTTTTATGTCATTGTTTCCTAGTCTCCTGACACACATATATGTGTATACATGTATACCTATTATGCACATGTATACATGCATGTACACAGATAGGTATATATGTTTATATATGTGCATGTATACACATATGTATATAATGGGCAATGATACTTAATATGTGTATGATGAAAAGTATCATTATTCCTCTGAATGTTATGATTGTTATGCATGCATTGCTCTAGGTGAAGATTTTCTCTTCATGTCTGGTTTTCATCGAGACATGAAGTATGATGAGTATCTTCATGGTGAGTATCTAATATTCTGTGCAACAAGCAAAAAAGTAATAATGAGAATAAGTAAAGGCTATTCAGATCTTGCCATAGCAAAAGGAGACAGTCACTATCACTTGCATTTTTGCAGATAGTCAAAGGCAGACAGAAGAGTACGAAGTTGTATATAGAAGAAAAAGAGAAGACTTTCGCCTTTGATTGGCGCTTGTTGGCATAAGAAAGCTTTATGTGGGCTAACTGGAAGTGAAATATTCTGTCATATTTAGGAGTAAATATTAGGAGTGCTTTCTCTGGTTGATCCTAATTTAGAAGCAGGGGCAAATAGGTAAGCTCACAGTTTTTAATCAAGTTATACCGTTTGTTACTATACTTATATATATTGTTATGAATGGTTATACAGATTCTGGCTCATTGCTTAGATGGCAATGTGCTAACAAAGTCTGACTTCGAACAGATAATCTTTCCTGGGCTATTATATGTCATTGTCAATAAGGGGGTTGATTTCCAGGACAATTTACTACAGTTTCGAGTATTTGACATACATACTAATGCATATATATTGTATATATTTAAAAGAGTTATCTTTAACATGGATTCTCATATATATTTTTTTTTGTTTTTCAGAATTTTGCCCATTACCAAGGTTATATTGAAGGTTACCCAAATTCTATGGTCTCATTAGCACATGTACTGGACTCAGGTTGTGAATATATATTTTATATATAATAGAATAAAATATATTTTTAAGAAATGATTTTTAAAATTTTAAAATCATAATAGGGGTTCTAAAGTTAGGCTGAATTTATTGTGGGAAACTGTCACTGGCAAATCTCAGTATTGGGATCTTGCACAGTTTTCTATTTAACCCTAGCTAAGATTTTTTGATATCTTTCGAGTTCATGACATATTAATTGCTGGGCAAATAGTAATAGTAGCACCATTCTGTCTACCTCAGTAAGTTTGTGGAGTCTCAGTAACTCTTTCCCATCTTGCCACTGAAAGACTCAAGACCAGAAGTAAATCTCCCCCATACTATTTAAAAATTTCATTAGGTGGTATTCGTGAATTTTTCCAAGTTGCATTATTTGATTATTCACCTTTTTAAAATTTATAGGGGCTTACTGCAGTTTGAAATGTAAGTTATGGAATTGAGCCTTGGAACCTTCAATCGGTTTGAACATGTGATTTATCAAATAAACATAAGAGTGAAGGTATTTTCTTTATATACTGAGGAAGATTTTGAGCCAGAGAATATGCCCTATAAAATACAAAGTGTAGAGGTAGGTAAATGAGTAAACTATATAGTATTACTACACAGAAATTTAAGCCAATGTTTCTTATAAATTATTCTTTAGATAGATGACAGGAGAGAGATAGATAGAATAGATAGTAGATAGAAGATAGATAGATAGATAGATAGATAGACAGATATAAAATGTGCAAAATTTCTTAATTTATATTGTAAGCCTTGAAGTTACCTCTTTCGATTTTACAGAATTCCAAGTGGCAACACTGTTAGTTGCAGCTCTTCCTGAAGGGTGGATCTGCTTTACTAAATGTCCCTCAATTTAAATTGTGATCTATCAATAAACAATAATAAGACAGAAAATAAAACCTTAAAGACACATCCAGAAAAGTGTTTGATCAAAATTCTGACATTGTGCCCAGTCAAGGTTGTCAGATAAAACACCACGATTACAAAATTTATTCTTATGGATTTTTCTCATTATTTGTTGGGTTTGTATATGGCTTTTTTATCCTGCCAAAGTTATTGAAATTGTTTATATATAGCTCTTTCTTTTGGAGTCTATAATTTTCTACTACAAGTGAGGCCATCCTGCAAAAAGACAGTTTTTTATATTCCTTTTCAATTAGAGTAACTTTCATTTCTCTTTATTACCAAATAAAGAATTCTTGTCCTGTCTCAATTTTAGGAGGGAGTCAGTCCATCTCTATTAAATATGTTAATGATATAACAAAAATAAAAACTTTCTGTAACCTTTGGCTTAACTTATACTCTGATAAACATTTTATTTCTCATTAATTCTTTCTCCTTTTTTTTTTTAGTAGGAGAACTGGGGTGTAGCCAGAGGTAGGAAGGTGAGAGGATTCACAGAGACAGAGTGGGGAGCAGAACAGGCAAATTACTGAAATCATGCTGAGGGGAACAGAGGGGCTGAGAGACAAGAGAGGTCTGCATGTGCTGTGGGATTAGCTCCCTGGCAGGGAACTCAGGCCACAGGGTAATAGCCTGCGATTTAACCCTTAGCCAGTGGAGACCCTCATCCTATTTAATTTTTTCTCACTTTCCCTTAAATA